GGCCGGAAGGGGGTAGGAACTTCCGGATAAATAGAAAAGGGGTTGCTTGTATTTTCCGCAAAGAATCTAAGACTTTGAGGCTTGAAGATTGAAGAGAAAGCCAAGACAAGGGTGAAATTGGAGTTTTGGGGGGGTGAAAAGAGAGTGAGGGAGTGGAGGGAAGAAGATGTGAGATTGAGGATCAAGAAGAATAGAAGCTATTCTGTAATCTCATAGAAATAGAAATCAAGTATTCAATGAATAGAGAAGAGAGAGAGAGGGAGAGGAAAGTGAAGATCTGAGATTAAAGGATCCAGAATGTTTGGCAGAAGTCCATTTAGCACACACTAGCCACTGGATCCTCCGTGTGGCGTCGACCTCCACACTTTGCGAACTTCTCTTCTCTCCAGCCATCTTTCTATGAATGAGGTATGATATATATCGGAATATCTACTTGATATTCTAAACTTGATCAAACACTCCTGATAATCTACCCCTTGAGATACTTTGTCTTCTCAAACCACTCTCCTGTTAAGCGCCTAAAAACGGGGGTTTTCTCCACATCGGGGGATTTCAGCACGAGCACCCTGGCACCTTTCAAAAGTTCCAATTCCAAGTATTGGAGTGCTTATCCTGTTTCACAACTTACACTTATACTTACACTTATAATAATCTCTACTTGCAGGGATTCTACCTTTCGGACATCATATACCAATGACCTGAACTGCATCCACCCGAACCTGCAGGTCAATCGCAGATGGTGGATCGTGGCTAATGATGCCGCCAGTTACCGACCTGACATTGGCGCATGCTTTAACCTTGGAAGTACGGGGTACTTTCTACCTTTTTACTTCTTTGCTTACTCCGTACAACTTACGGATCGGTCAGGTTGGATATACTTCGGTTCTTTTCAGCTACTATTGTTCGCTACATTACCTCATGGAAACTCCTAACCTTAGAACTATTACGGAGTGTTTGACAGGCTAGGTACTCCGTTGAATGTTGATATTTGATCTTACACTGCTTGTTTCTAAATATGGAACATTAATAACGTATGTGCGACTGGCCTTGAAGTCTTGTCACTCATTAAATCTAATTCTAGACTCAAATCATATTTCCATAGCAGAACTAGAAATTAGAGAAACAAAAGGAAGTCAATAGTATGCACTATGTAACTAGTAAGGAAGACGAGATAATAACATGAAATATAAGTCAATAAATATAATCGAAAGCTATATTGTACATGGATGTATGTATGATGTCGAGTGTGCCTTTGAACCATCTTTTGAAGCATTTCGGGGCCAAACAAATATGGCTGGTACTTCCGCCTGCCCTCTACAGTCTCCCACCTCAATTCTACAGTCTCCCACCTCAATTTTCCCATCTCTACGGCCGGTGGCGTCTTGCAGCTCCAAGCGAGCTCCAACATGTCGCTCCGAATCAACATTCCCCCTGCTACTCGAATCTGTCTCGTCAGCCTTCTCACCTTCTCCCTACTCTACAACATTGCCAGATGGCGACAAATTGACACCACCGGCGGAACTCCGACCACATCTCCTCTCGTCCCCTACCTGACCCTCGTGCCCTCGTTCTTCTATTACTATCCCTGGACAATCGCCACGGCCACCTTCGTCGAGCAGAACATATTTACCGTCTTATTAAACGCTGCCACCGTATTCTATGGTGGCAAGTACCTCGAACGCGCGTGGGGCTCGCGCGAGTTCAGCAAGTTCATCGCGGTCGTCGCCGTGATCCCCTACGTCGCCATCATTCCAATCTACCTAATCTGGGGAGCAATCGGAGGCTCCTCAAGTAGAGTGTACGCATCGCCCCTCTACCTTCCCCGTCCGCCAACACAAGCAACCCCATTACCACCCACCCGTATACCAAGTACTAACCATCTCAACAAACAGCCTCACCCAAATCTGCGGCGGCGTCTCCATCCAAGCCTCCTTCCTAGTCGCCTTCAAACAGCTCGTTCCAGAACATACTGTAACAATCTTCAAAGGAATAATCAAGATGCGCGTAAAGCATTTCCCCGCCCTCTTCCTCCTCCTCAATACCATCAGCGGCCTCGTCATCGGAACAGACACCGCCGCAATCCTCTCCTGGCTCGGCATCCTCACCAGCTGGACCTACCTCCGCTTCTACAAGCGGCAGCCCGACCTAACCGGCACCTCAAGCGGCACGGGCATCAAAGGCGATGCCAGCGAGACCTTTGCCTTTGCCTGTCTATTCCCAGACGTGATGCAGCCGCCTGTGGCCTTCATCGCGGACAAGATCTACGCTCTGCTGGTCGCAGTTAAGCTTCTGACGCCGTTCTCAGAGGACGATATCGCCTCCGGTAACGAGCTGGTGCTGACGAGAGGCGAGGCGGGCTTGCCAACGCTGTTGAATAACCAGCGTGGTGGGGCCAGGGGCGCGGGTAAGCGCGAGGAGGCGGAGCGAAGACGTGCTATTGCGCTCAAGGCTCTGGATCGCAGGTTGAAGGCTGCTACTTTTGGGCGTGTGCAGGCTCACTCGCCTGGTTTGGGGGAGCCTAGCTCGTCGATGCCGCTTCCTGCTACGCCCACTCCGGCTGCGCCTGTTGGTCAGAGTATGCTGGGGGAAACAAGTTACAATCCTGATCATGCTTGAATGCGGTCAGGTGCTTCTTTTTCTGACTCTGGCGTTCCGTGACGCACTTTGGATTTGACCCTTTGGACATATTCGCATTCGTGGCATGGCTGGTTTGTTTCTTAGTTCTTTTTATATTGATGGTGTGTGCACTTCTGATGATGTACATGATTTGCTCGATCCTGTCTTGGATTTTGATTTACCACTCTAGTTATTAGGCTGATATCTTAGCGCCTCTGTGATTGCGGTGGCTTTTTGGCCTCTTTGTTTTATACCACCGCAGAGTCTGTACGCCAATTACTGCTTGAAGAAACCGTTCCACTCCAGTAATCCGTTACTTTAACCATTTTAATTGCCATATGCGCTCTATTTTAATTATCTCGTTGATCCTAACCCAGCTATTCGCCTCCTGCGTCCATCTCCATCTCAGCCTCCTCTTCGTCTAGCAATGGCACAAACCGGAAGTCTACAAAGCACACAGGTCCATTGGGACCCTTTACACCAGCACCAACCGGTCTGCCCACTGGCGCGTTATGATCATCAAGCTCAACCATGAACTGTAAGCTCAACACCCCCTGCCGATCCCCGCGAATACTAACCTTATTAGCGACAGACATGGCTCTCGCAGCCTTGCGAACCAAACCAAAGCGATAGCTCTGTTGAATACGCTCTCTCATAGAAGAAGGAGGAGAAACAAGGAAAGTCTCCGTGACCGTAGGCGCAAGCTTAGCTCTAGTTGCGCGAGACCGGGAAGAGCCATCATCGAACAATACCTTATGCGTCTGAGATTGTGTGTTGCCCTGACCAGCGCCACTGGCGATCTCGTTATGCTGGTCAACCGAGAACTCCACAGTGGATTCACTGAACGGGCCGCCCGCACCGGAGAGAGCAAAGTACGGTTCTCGCTTGGCGCAGGCGGACAGTTTCAGGATTGTGGGGGTGGAGGAGTCGAGTTCGGCGATTGCATTGTGTAGCCAGGCGGACCGCATGATGATTTTCATGATGATGGCGTCGCGCTGGAGGGGAATGTCTGCTTCGTCTTCGTCAGGCTCATAGGTCACTAGCTCGCATGTTGTTTTCACCCCAGCTTCGGTGATGGTGATACTAAGCGGGGCGCCGTGTTGGACGTATTGCAGGGTGCAGGAGCGATCCATGAGCAGAGCTGGAGCGTTGAATGCACTTGACGAGGCGATGCCGCTTTGCGTGATGCTAGTGTCGCGGGGTCGAGTAGACTCAGAAAGCTCGTTGATGCCGAAGATCTTCAGGGTTTCGAGGATGGCGGAGAGGGAAACGACAAAGTGAGGGTAGGCCCCATTTTGTGTTGATTCGTTGTCGTCTTGGGGTGTTCCGTTCTGATTGTTAGGTTCGGGGTCGGTCGATGGATTGAATGTGTAGCTGGTGAAGAGCGACTTGTCGAGGAAGGCTAGTCCTTGGATGACCCGGCCTTCCTCCACTGAGAATCTGAGGCCATCTGGGGTAATTTGGACGGTGGCCTTGTGTGCGAAACCAATGCAGGAGAGCAGTGTGTAGAGATGGTGGGCGTTGTTGGAGACGCCAGCGAAAAGGGGCTCCATTTTGTGGCGCAGGCTGCTAGCTCGAACTTTTCAGGCGCGATACTGGCACAGAGAAAAGATAATGAGTGCGAAGATGCGTGATGGCTTTGGATATTCTAGCAGTACAGGCCCCTTTGAACCCAACGCTTATGGTACATTAACGGGACGCGTAATAGGAAAGGTGGCCAGTTAGACATAGACTCCGGCGGCGCAGATCATAAACACAGCTCCAAAGCTATCCAGAATACCCAATCAGTATATCGTACGTCGAGAAATGGGACGCAACGCATTACTAACCCAAATGCCAGCGCGGCCGGAAAGCCTAAGGATACAATGCCGAGGAAAGACCGATCTGTTTGGTAAACTGTCAGAGTCCAATTCAACATCTGAATTTAGAGAGTAACTTACTCAAGCCAAAGAGAGTGGCCGTAACCAATGCTATTAATATTAGTCAGAAATTAGCTGTTTTCAAAGCTATGATAGAGAAGCTTACCGAGGAGGAGCAAGTTGAAGCCGACAGAGAACTGGCTGTCCTTGGCAATGAGAGGGATGAATGGAGTTGCAGAGGCTGCCTCCCAGACTTCGTTCAGAGACATTAGGACAATAGAACTTGACAAATGCAATTCAGGGAGAAATTGATGCAGGTCAAAGATAATGTGAAAGTGATATAGATCGACAGTGTTGATCTGGCCCGACCGGTGGTTAGTTGTTCCGACCGATACCCCATGTCATTATCAACGCAGGGTCAAGTTTGAAGGTCCAGAACATCATGGTTGTTGATTCACCAAAGAGTAAGTGAATTCTTGTAATTCCACGTGAAGCATTTTGGGACGCAAATTTTAACATGACACTATGATATCAGGTTTCAAGCGCAAAGCCTCGGAGGAGGCAGCTTCCCCGGACTCTGGGCCGCAGATAATCAAGAAGGCACGCACAGATTCCCCTGTGAAAGAGGTAAGAGAAGCTCTACGCTATCGCTATCGATATTGCTTCGCCTATTTTTTCTGATAAGAACCCCGCCTAGGAATATGGCCTCCTTAAAAGGCCACCGCTTCGCATTGTTCCGTTCCCTGAGAAGGTACCCTCCCATCCCACCCCATGGACTCTCATGTCTGTTCGCGAGCAATGGCTGATGATGATACCCAGCCCGCCGTTCTCGAAGAACGCCGAGGCGACATTGAATTCCGTGTCGTCAACAATGATGGTTCGCACGATAGCTTTATTGTCTTGACAGGCCTGAAGTGTATTTTCCAGAAGCAACTTCCAAAGATGCCCAAGGACTACATCGCACGCCTTGTCTATGATCGATCCCATCTGTCTATGGCTATCGTAAAACATCCACTGGAGGTCGTTGGGTATGTCACAAGTGCCGAATATTGCCCCGGATTGGTTGGAGTAGGATACTGACCAACTACAGAGGAATCACGTATCGTCCGTTCAATTCCCGAAAGTTTGCCGAGATTGTCTTCTGCGCTATATCCTCGGATCAGCAAGTGAAGGGATACGGTGCACACTTGATGTCCCATCTCAAGGACTACGTGAAAGCCACCTCCCCCATTATGCACTTCCTCACCTACGCCGATAACTATGCCATTGGATACTTCAAGAAGCAGGGCTTTACCAAGGAGATCACACTCGATAAATCAATCTGGATGGGCTACATTAAGGATTACGAGGGTGGCACGCTCATGCAGTGCACCATGCTCCCAAAGATCCGTTATCTGGAGATGGGTCGCATGCTCACCAAGCAGAAGGAGTCCGTGCAAGCCAAGATCCGTGCCTTCAGTCGCTCGCATATCATTCATCCCCCTCCGAAGGAATGGAAGAACGGGGTGTATCCGATCGATCCTCTTAGCATTCCCGCTATTAAAGAGTCCGGATGGTCACCAGATATGGATGAAATGGCTCGCCAACCACGCCACGGGCCCAACTACAACCAATTACTCCACCTGTTGAACGATATGCAAAACCACAGTGCAGCCTGGCCGTTTACTCAGCCCGTGAACCGCGACGAGGTTCCAGACTACTACGAGGTAATCTTGGAGCCTATGGATCTGTCGACCATGGAAGAGAAGCATGAGAAGGACTTGTACCCGACTCCACAGGATTTCATCAAGGATGCCATGTTGATCTTCGACAATTGCCGACGCTACAATAACGAGACCACGCCCTATGCCAAGAGCGCAAATAAGCTTGAGAAGTTCATGTGGCAGCAGATCCGGAACATTCCGGAGTGGTCGGTATGTATTTACAATGAAGATGTCTTTTTGACAAGACAAATGCTAACTCTGGAATCTAGCACCTTGCCGATAATCATTGATCTCGGAACATACATCTATTGCAGCGAGGGTGTTTATGGAACGGCGTTGGGGATTGGAATTTGGGCAATACCCTGTTGATAGATTACCACATGCAGTTTTCACTGGCTTATGAATTTCTTTCCAATTTTAGCGTAGATCAACGTCGAGCTCAATCCACGGATGGATGTGCTGATCCATCTTCACACCAATCACATCTATAGATGCCATGCTTGGTACTGTGGGGCCGACGCTCAAGTTGATGCCCAGAGCATAGAGAATACATAGAGCATAGAGCAGCCCTGGAAGGTCATAACAGCAATAGAAGGACATTAATCGAAGATAATATATAAGTGTTTACTCCGTATATCCATGATGAGATCTGATGCAATAACCTAAAACTTCAACGTTAATTTCGCCCCTGACAGATCTTAATCTCGGATTATCGTTGTTGCGGCGTTTCGAGAAGAATGCTGATGGCTGGAATAGCCTCACGAATTTCACCCTTACTTTCGTTTTGTAGGACTTGTCTTTTTCAAGCTTCCTTGTTTTTCTTTTTTTCCTGTTGCTGTTGCTGTCTCTGAGCCGACCTAGTTGTGTTGTGACCTCAGGGGCTCGCTCAATATCACACGCTATTCACTGTGTACCTCGCGACGTGGAGCTCAATTTGTTTCAACCCCTCTCATTTCGCTCTCGATTTTCTATCATTCGCTTTTACTCGCCTGAAGCTTACTCATCGCATCTTTCGGGGTGTGTTGAGATCACTTTCTCGCTCCCTGACACGACCTCAATCTCTCCCCCTTTTGCTCCCCCGCCTTCGCATTGAAATTTCGGTGCTGGTCTTGCCGACTCTAAGCACACGGCCGACATGTCTCATCATGATTTTGTCGATGCGGAGTCGCGTAATCGCCTACCGACCCTCTTTGAAGTGCTCAGCCGCCGAACTCTCGCCCCGGTCGACCTCTTTTCATTCTACATTTACATGCGCGACCAGCAGCGTTCCGTAGACTATCTAGACTTTTGGTAAGTGTAAGCTCACATTCAGTGCCAGGATCTGAAGTTAACGGGATCTCTAGGCTCGATGTATCACAACACATGCTACTGTGCCGGCACTATGTCCGTGAACTCCGCCGTTCCGTCCTCGTCGCGACCCCTGATATGGAAAGAGCCGACAGCAAACGATCTTCCACCATGCTTGACAATCTGGAGAACCTAGGTGATATCCCGCTGACGGAGGCCGGGCCTTCTCGCTTACGACACGGATTCCAAGAAAACGAGAAGGACAGAGATGCCGACCAACGCCTGTCTGCATTCCTTCGCTCCGAAGGCCAAACCACATCACCCTCCCGGCAAAACAGCCTGGGATCTTCCGGCGAATCAGCACACCAAATCTCTTCGTATGGTGATGGCCGTGACACCCCGGACTCCCGGCTTAACGACTCAACCTCCCCTGGGCACACAGTGGCCCGCAACGACATTCGCGCCAGTGCTGAGAAGATCTTGTACACATATCTACTTCCCGGTTCTGAGCGAGAGATTATGCTACCAGAAACAATGGTTTCCACAATTATCAACCTGGTCGAAGATGACGGCCGAGACGACCCTGAAGTCTTCGACCCCGCCAAGGACTATGTGTTCCAAGCCATGGAACGTGATGCATTCCCAGGATTCTTGCAAGCAAAGGCCCTTGGAAATATGGTTCCCTTGAGTATCATCTTGCGCCTTGCCTTTGCTCTGATTAGTTTCGGCGGAGGATTCTGGGGTGCCTTCTACGTTGTTCTGCGGAATAAGCCCCGGAACATTCGTTGCTGGGTATGTTGATGACTCCCTCTAAGCATCGATGAATCAGCCTGCTAACTTAATCCAGATCATCCTTCCATTTGCTGTCGCTGCATACTTCATCATCTCTTATCAGTACAAGATCGACCCCGTCATGGCGTTCTTGGGCTACAGTGAATACACCTTTATGAACTGGGCCCCAATTCGCGAGCCCTACGTTCGAAAGCTGCTGAACAAGCGCGCCCTCGTCACTGCATTAATCGCCTTCATCACTGCAGCAGCTCTGAGCATCTTGTTCATCTTCGTCCCCGGTACCATGCTGTGAGCTTTTCGCCGAGTCCAGTTTCCATCTAATCCAAACTTCCAAAAACAATCGCTCCGTGAAGTCCGTTGTCTGATCATTTGATCATTCTTACTATGTCGATAATTCGATTGACTTGACTTGTTCAAGCGTTCCCACCGTGCCCGAATACTGAGGTTTTGCTTCTATGATGCATATTCTTGAAAAGAATGTGTCTTGACCTGCAGCCGATCTTTGTCTTCGTAGCTATACAGAAGTCATTTTGGTCTTCTCCATCCGCCTTATCCACCCGCTTATCAGTGGTCACATGGATCCATCTACTTCCTCTTTGTCATGTCCATATTTATTGCGCCTGTTGTTTTTGCTGTTGTTTTTCTTCTCTTCCACCAATACCCCTCTCGACTTCGAAAACTTTGTATGTATCTATTTTCTCATTAATGAGCGTCGCCTAGGGCCTTACGAATGCAATTTGCTCCTGTCCACGGGTTCCATATCCATGAGATATCTTCCGTAAAAGATGAAGCTAAACCATACTCAAGTCATTTGATATCATAAATCCCGTCGGAGCCGCTATGATCTTCTGCGCCACGTAGCCATGAGCAAATGGGAGTATAGTGTCATGTGAATGCATCGACACATCCGCACTTCAAGACTTGCGCCCCAAAACCCGCTTCGGCTGCCGACTATTTCCCGCACGAGCACCAGGCGCCTCATCAATATCCATGCGTGAGCCATGCTCACCATCGTAAGTCTCAAAGAACCCATCGTCTTCATCAATATCGTCTGCATCCCTCTTACTCCCCCCGAGGCCAGCACCAAGTCGACCACCGCGCCGACCACCCTTCTTCCCTGCACTTTGCTTCCTCTTAACAGCCTCCTCGAGGGCCTCATTGTGTGCCTGAGCGCGTGCGGCACGCTTGGCAGCGTCGCTCTTGACCCGTGCAATCTCCGCCTCCAGATCGGAGACGACCTCGCCGCAGCGCGATTCCCACTCGCTCAAGTTGGCGATCATCTTAGGGAGGGACTGGGGCTGGACGTCACGGAGGGGGGCGACGGCTGTCACATTCACGGATGGAGGGTTGGAGGCTGGTGACAGGCGGGCTGTTATCAGGGAGGCGTAGATGGCTGTTGTTACGAGGGATTCGAGCTCGGCTTTTGTTGGGGTGCTGAGGGCGGTCATCAGGGCGCTATAGGTGAGGGGTTTAATTGTTGTTGAGAGCGTTAGGAGTGAGAGGAGGCGGAGTTTGAGGGTTTGTTCGGTGTTCAGCTCGGGGAGGTTTGGGGTCGCTGGTGCGGGGTGTTTTTGGTTAGCTTTGGTTCAGGGAGCTTTGGGGGCTTGCTTGGTTTCCTGGGCTCTGGATACATGCAATCTTACTCTGATATTCTTGCCATGTACCCCATGCGAAGATCTCTAGTAGCTTTAGATAGCCCTGAAACTCGGCTGGAGTGTCTGGTGACCGTAATGCTTGGACCGTCGGCAGCTCGAGCAGCTCTGCAAAGACGTAGGTTTGCGCGTTGGAGGTGGCATTTGTGATGAGGTTGGCGATAAAGCGAGGCGTACCTGCGCTGTTGGAGCGGGCTAGGTGGATGAATGGTTGGAGAGCCTCCAGGGCTCGTGTGTGGGTTTGATCCATTGGGATGTTGTGGTTGATAGAAGTGTAGTTCAAAGGGTTATTGAGAGTAACCAAGGGAGATAGCTGCAATATGAGAGGTACGGAGTAGCTGAGTTCGAGATGGGAAGCATCAAATGTAGGTAGTCCAGGTGGAGATGCTTGTTTGCGTTGGGTGCAAACACGCCTTATCTGATTCAAGCACTCCAATTGTACCTGGACACCTGGGCATAGATTTCAACCTTGAAAGGTTGTTGATTTATTATTATTATTATTATTATTATTATTTAGCTGTTTATTCTATTATTGCTTGTTGTATACAACCTTGGAATAAAATCCTATCGTAATAGTGCAGGGCCCCCCATTCTGCAAGTACAGAAAAAGCGACGATAACCACTTCTCTCAGCTGCCATTTTTGTGAGGGCGCTCACAGTCAGGCTCAGTAGGTAAATTCAGTCCGGGCTCAGCTGAACTGCTCGGTGCTATCTCATGATAAATCAGCGAGGTCTAATGACCTCTCAGCGGAGAACATCTATCCAAACTTGAATGATTTCTATTGGGTTTCTTCCCTAACTACATGGAAGATAGAGACGCTAATCAACCAGACATTTCCATAAGCGATACTGTTTGCAGCTGTCCATCTTGGATAGTGGCAATTGCATCCACCCCAGGTCTCATAGCACCCTTGATACCCGCAAAACGGTGTGCAATCATAAGAACAGTGTAACCTTGGAGATCATGGCGAAGAATATCGGTCAGAATGGTCTCTGTTTCCGAGTCTAACGAAGAGCTAGCCTCATCTAAGATGATAACGGGCTTATGTGGCGCAGAGGATCGAATCCGTAGTAGTGTTCGGCAAAGGGCAAACAGTTGTAGCTGCCCCGCTGAGAATGGTAAAAATGAAGACATAGGAAGGTCTAGTAAACTCCGAATCTCAATATTCGTGTTGACCTTTTCGCTTGCTGAGATGGCCAACGTCGAATGAATCTTATCCCAAAGACCTGTCCTTTGGAGACTTAGAAATATATCTTGATCCGGGCTCTTGTGGTAGGGATCTAGATTGAATCGTAGACTAGCCGTGGGAATGCTGAACCCATCTTGAGGCACTGCAATAAACCCGCGTTTTCGGACAGTTCTCGGGGGCAGAGAGCCAATATTGATGCCGTCAATTAATATGGATCCCTGTGCGGGCCGGAGGAGCTGTAGCAATGAAAGCATCAAAGTACTTTTGCCACTAGATAGAGAGAGTGTGTAGTTAGCTATCGAAGTTATGACGGTGTAAACAATTGATCTTGTTTGTTTCCTACCTCCCGGTTCGGCCTATAACAATGATCTTCTGTCCAGAGTGGGAAGTTAGAGAGAGATTGCGTATGGAAAGTGTCGCGGACTCTGAATAGGCGACTGAGATGTCATTGACCTGCAAATTTCCGGAAGAGGGCCATCGCAGATTAGGCCCTAGAGTACCCCCGACGTCATCATCTTCACTAGGGACGCAGTCTTGTATACTCTTCAGTCGAGAAATAGACCCCAGTGAAGTCTCTAGAGATGTCCATGACTGGACAAGTCGTAGGAGCGTGGTGTTTGCAACGATGACCAGGTTTAGAGCCAAGCCAAGATCGGCACCGGTGGTAGTATTCCGATATAGAACGGTGAAAGCGATCAGAATGACTGCGAAAATTGCAATAATACAATCCATGGTCATCTTTAGCCAGCACTGTAGGCAGAGAAGAATGTAGAATGGCTTTTGAGACAGGTCTAGTGATTTGACATTTTCGTTCTCGAACTTGGCTTTCCAACCAAAGGCTCGGATTGTAACGATACCACTCGCCTAAGAAGAGAATTAGAAGCGGGATGGCTATCAGGCTGTAGTAGAAGCATATACCGTATCCAGGAAGTTGGTGAACACTAATGATCTTGACTCCAGCTCTAGGAAGCGCAGTTGTCGAGATGCCCGAAGGTAAATTCGTTGAATGAAGTACACGCAGATGGCGCACACTGGCAAAGTGACAGCCATCGAAATTCGGATCTTCAAAAGCAGGATCAATTGCATCGCTAGTTTAAAGATTTCTGATTAAAAGGTTACTAAAATGAGCACAAGCCAGGGATTGCGCCAATCATACGGGTATTGAAATTTGCTAGCGTTAGAGGGAGCTGCTTATCGACGATGTTTATGTCTTGGCCAAATCTGTATATCAAGAGCATAGTTTAGAGGTGTACTTATTGCAAAAGAAGGGTGTGCAGACCTATTCACGATAGCACCGATATCAGTCTCAGTAAAGTAAGATAGAGGCGCCCTATTTCATATTCATTAGTCCTAAGCTATTTGATATTAGAATGTAAAGGTTGGAAACAAACTTGAGGATCCGATCAAGAAGGTTTGCGTGCAAAACAGCCCCTGAGTTGACAGCGACTTTCATTTGAGCGCACCTAAGAGCATTAGCATTGTCAACCGATGGGGACAGCGGATGGTCTTACCACAGGGTCCCGCTAGTTGCCACCCACGCGATCGAGGAGACTGCGGCATAGAGAGACATGTAGAAGGCTAGACTTTCCGGGGGTGATTCTGTCGCCCACTTGAGCACATACTGAGCGAATGTAGAACCAAACGCGAAGCCAGCAGTACAAACAATCAAAAGAAGAGCATTCGTTCGGCCAATCGCATTGATGTAATAATCTATCTAAGATTAATAGAAATCGTAAATAAGGATGTGAACGTATATCATACCATAGATTGCAAGATCACCGGTCCTCCGAGAGATCTCATCTGCAGCATCGTTTAGGTGTAGCTTCCGAATTGGCGTAGTGACTTTAGGCGTCTCATGGTGTGGGAAACTGCCAAGGGTCTTTGCCGGCAATGTGGAAACCCCAATAGACGCTTTCGGGTCTTGAGAATAGGACTGGGCTTGAAGGTGTAGTCTTGAATCTTGCAGAAGCAGCACTCTGTTCGCAATTGGGAACATCTCTTCTATTCAATCCTTGGTATTAGAGGAAGGGTAAATCTTTGCAAATATAGTTGCGAACTTACTATTGTTACTGATCAAAAATACCGTTGTCCCCATTTTCCGAAACAAACCTCGCGGGCCTAACAATCTTTGCACGATATGATCCGTGACGGCGGGATCGAGAGCACTGAATGGATCATCTAGGACGAGTATCTTGTATCTCGAGTAGACCGCTCGGGCTAGAGCCTTCGTTGCCTTTGTTAGTAAAACAGCAATGCGGAGCGGGTAAAAGCAAAGGAAAGCCCATACTATACGATGTTTTTGCCCTCCAGACAGATTCATCCCATTGTTCTCGATCAACGCTATGTCACCACCGACAAAAGAGTCGAAGTCGGGGACTAGACCGCAGGCTTCGATCACCGTATTGTACCATTCGATATCTAGCTCGTCTAGGTGCTCCGTTATAGCTTCACGAATAGCGACGCTAGGCAGCCATGGGCCTTGGGCACAATATGCAATCTGCTTGGGAGATACACAGATAGAGCCCTTGTTGGGAGTGACTTCTCCTAAAATTGCCATCGCCAATGTTGTTTTGCCGCTTCCAACCGCACCAGCGCAGATCAAAATCTCGCCGCAGTCGAGATATTGGGAGACATTGAGAAGAATCGGCCTGGCTAATGAAGAAGGTTGGACTGTTACGTCTTGTATTGTAGCCAATCGTTGAATGCTACCCTGTGGGGAGTATTCCCGCGCGTCTTGAATAGACGGCTGGCTGATATAAGTCTGGATGCGATCGAAGTTTGAAAGTACAGAGATAGCCTGTGGAATGAGAGTCATAACCATGTTAGCTGGATGTGTTACCATGGCTAGCAGAGCAAGAGATGTAAACATCTGATCGGCCTGTAATCTGTCGCTTTTCGAAGACATAGCGAAGAGAATTAGAGTCAATACTGGGGCGAGAATCCCAAGTGCATTCGCTTGGATAAAGAGTTAGCGCCGATAACCACATATTCATCTGGTCGAATCGATACATACCACTTGCATTGTAGGCGACTAGGATCCATCTGAAAGGCTTTGATATTTGAATCTCCTTACTTCGCAGAGCTGTTATCTGGGACTGAATTGCGTCTTCCATGCCCATTATCTTTAGGTTCTTGATCCCCTCTAAAGTTGAAGTTGTTATAGCAATACGGCTTTGTGTTGCCTCGTTCCAGCTTTTCTGTCCGTTCTCCAAGTTCTTTGCAACATACGCACTCATCCGTGAACATGCTACGAATAGTGGTCAACACGATCTAACTCTCAGAAGTTCCTTTATCCGCCACCTACCGAAGATTATCACTAACGGTAGAAACGCAAACCATTGGATGCGAGAGGCCAACAATGCTGTGCCGATAACAACCTCCACAAGCCGGGCCCAAGTCTCGTGGAAAGTTTCACCAACAGACTCAATACTGTCAATATCGGAAGTAATCAATGTCAATGCGGTCGAGCCTTGAGACCGGTCGTGTGCTAAATTAAGAGACTGATGGTGAATGAGACCGATCAGTGCTCCCCGGACCATCACACGTAGCCTGTTGACCCGGCTTTGGTAGATTGCCGCTGATACCTAAGTAGTCACGCGTCGGATTGTTAGAAAAGGAAAAAGTAACTGTTAGGTATCGTACCGCTATCCCCATATACACGATCGTAGCAAAAAGCAGCAACCGAAAGCCACTATTTTCACCGAGAATGGTGTGAGGGGTGCCATTGACAAACTCGATCGCAACTCCAATGAAAAGGGGTTGCAGGTATGTAAATAGAATTAGGAATAGGCGCGGGAGTATTGGTGATAGTAATGCAACTTTCAGACACCTCGCTAACGCATATAGAAGCTTCCATCTTGTGTGGACGTGGGCTAAATTGCATCTTAGTATTGCACGACATCCCCAAGAGAAGAAGAAAGATGAAATCCAGTACATTTTGCAGTCCAGGATTCTAAGACTTGTCTTCGGAGTCTCTTTGACGAAAGATGTCCGTCGATCTCTGGCAAATGAGAAAGGCTAAGCCTCGCGCTATAACCTTCCCTTAACACTGGATGTAGCCACCAGAAGAAGACTTGACCAAGGAGCCCCACTGCTTCCCCTGGCGTAGAAACAGACCTTTGGCCGTGGTATAAGAAGAAGCCCCTGGCTCGTAGATCCCAGAACAGCCAGATACACTCTAACACGGCCCTCGATTTGACTAAGTAACAAGCCCCAATGCTTGAGCAGCTTGCGATGACTCGTAATTCCCAAAGGTCTCTGGTTAGAGAGCATGCGAGATACACTAGCATGACGCCTGATGAACTGATGGATCCTGTTTGTTCGAGAATGGATAGCGAGACAGCTGTAGTCGCCCCTACCAGGACCAAGGCGGAGTCTATAAGAATGGCAAGTCTTGGATCGGGATGACCCATTAGCAGGAAATACCAAAAGTAAGCCAAGTGAATTGCAAGAAGAACAATAGGAAAGGCCTAGGGTGCGTCAATAATATGTAGAGACAAAGGGGACTTCTCGAGAACAGTAACCAACCACTTTCTTCTTATGCCATGAAATAGCCAGCTTCGTATTCGACCGTCGAAGATAACGGATTCGTCGAAGTAAACAAAAAAGCAAGATGAGCGACAGCGCGATTGATCCAGATGTGCCGGTCGACAACATTTTGAAAGTCATATTGGTTTGAAGGCTTGACAACCTATGGAGTACTCCGTACTTTGGACGTTTCCTCATAGATGCGCGGACAAACTGCCCAGTTAGGCAAGGCCAATAAAACAATAAAAAGCAAAAACGTTCAGCTCCGGCAGTGGACGTGCTGGATCAGCTATTTACCTGCAACATGGGTGAGCAAAAGACGGCAAGGGAAAGCCAAGGAAATCGACATTTTGAAACAACTTGTTTTCGTATTGCTTAGTCTGTTTCAGGCCTTCCAGGTACTAACTATCCTAGTCTTCTATTTACTAATATCCCTCGGTGAATCATTAATCTAATTGAAAACTTGACCATCTAATCAGCTGCCCCCGCTTATATTGCATCGACTCGTTACATTCCATAGCGTGGCAGAGATGCGGGTCACATCACCGAGTCCGATTCCCCGTGCAAATCCACTTTCTTTTCTTTCTCCCCTTGCGCCTTTGGCCTAATTTTCGAAATTCGATAAAAACCCGACCGACGTGGCTTTCTGGGCAAACTATTTCTTTTTTAACTTCTGCAGCTCCCTTTGTCTGCTCAACAAGGGAATGATCTGTTAGTCTTGCGCTATCCGAGAGCATCCGTCCGTCAGCACGCTATCACACTCTGCCATCGCGTCGGAGACAATTTGTCAGACACCCTCCATATGCTATAGTTTCCGTCGTCCCTCGCCGTGTTCGCCTCGCGCTTCACCTCGAGATGTTACCCACGAATCCGCACGCCGGCGGGGCCAGTCAACCCGCACTGGCCATCACGACTATCAAGATCGATGGAATGACTTGCGGAGCATGCACCTCAGCAGTAGAGAGGGCATTTCAAGGGATAGACGGTGCCCGCGATATTTCCGTCAGTCTCATCATGGGCAGGGCTGCTGTACAACATGATCCGTCAGTGTTACCGCCGACGAAAGTCGCAGAGATGATTGAGGAGTGCGGCTTCGATGCGGCAGTACTTTCCACCGAGGAACAAAAGAAACCTGATTCTTCTTTTTCGGCTACGCGACTCTCGGTGACCAACCTAGCGGTTGAGGGTATGACATGCGGGGCATGTACGTCTGCAGTGGAAAGCGGGTTTAACGGTGTGCGCGGTGTGAACTCGGTAGACGTATCACTACTTTCCGAGCGCGCAGTCGTGGAACATGATGCAGGCATCATCACACCGGAGCAGATCGCAGAGCTCATTGAAGATCGAGGCTTTGGAGCGCGAGTGCTGGACACTTCCCTAGTGGCCGCCAAGGGGCCATCTGCATCGGCTGACTCGGAAAAGGAATCTGGACTTCTAATCACGACAGTCGCAATCGGAGGCATGACATGCGGCGCTTGCACATCTAGCGTCCAGGGTGCCTTGGGCAGTGTCGATGGGGTAATCCAGTTCAATATCAGTCTTCTGGCTGAGCGGGCGGTGGTTGTGCACGACCCAACCATACTCCCTGCCAGCAAAATTCCAGGTCTTGTTGAAGATGCTGGATTCGATGCGTCGATCGTGTCATCTGAGGCGCAGGTGTCTATTTCCAAAAAGACACAGCAGATTAATTTGAGTCTACATGGGCTACGGGACGGCGTTTCTGCCACAGCATTGGAAGACAATATATTACAGCAACCGGGTGTTCTGTCAGCATCAATAAAAATGGCTACTTCCCGTATAGCCATTGCTTTCGATACATCTACAATTGGAATCCGGTCTATTGTGGAAGTGATCGAGGCTGCTGGGTACAACGCCTTGGTTGTCGACTCAGATGACACCAACGCACAGCTACAGTCATTGTCCAAAACGAAGGAGGTCCAAGAATGGAGAATATCTTTCATCATCGCCGCCTCTTTTGCGGTTCCCGTCTTCCTCATCAGCATGATTCTTCCGATGTATTTGCCCGGGATTGACTTTGGCAGTTTCGCACTCATCCCGGGTCTATATCTCGGGGATCTGATCTGTCTTGCTCTTACCATTCCGGTGCAGTTCGGCATTGGCAAACGATTTTACGTCACCAGCTTCAAGTCCCTCAAGCATCGATCCCCAACCATGGATGTTCTCGTAATGATTGGCACGTCCGCTGCCTTCTTTTACAGCTGTTTCACCATGCTCATGGCTCTTTGCAGCATGGACCACAAGCGTCCTAGTACCGTGTTCGACACCTGTACGATGCTTATCACCTTTGTCACTTTGGGACGATGGCTAGAGAACCGAGCCAAGGGCCAAACTTCCGCTGCTCTTTCTAGGCTCATGTGTCTGACTCCATCTATGACGACTATCTATGAAGATTCTATTGCGGCAGAGAAACTGGCTGAGCGCTGGGCCTCCAAACCTATGCATGACGCATCTGAGCAACCCACGTTGGCTGAGGATATGACGGTGAATCAAAAATGCATTCCCACTGAGCTGATTCAAGTCGGTGATGTCGTTATCCTTCACCCGGGAGACAAAGTGTCTGCGGACGGTGTGGTTATCCGGGGCGAAAGCTATGTTGACGAGAGTATGATCAGTGGAGAGGCACTGCCTATTCACAAAAAGAAAGGCAGTCAAATCATTGCTGGGACTGTGAACGGCACAAACTCCATTGATTTCAAAGTCACTCGAGTCGGCAAGGACACCCAGTTGAGCCAGATTGTAAAGTTGGTACAGGATGCGCAGACGAGCCGTGCTCCGATTCAGCGCATGGCTGATATCGTTGCTGGTTACTTTGTCCCTACCATCATAGGGCTTGGTTTGATCACATTCTTTGGTTGGATGTTCCTCAGTCACATACTGCCTCATCCGCCCACAATCTTCGAAATGGCAGGCAGTGGTGGCCGAGTCATGGTTTGCTTGAAGCTTTGCATCTCGGTCATTGTCTTTGCGTGCCCCTGTGCTTTAGGTCTGAGCACCCCGACCGCGGTCATGGTTGGTACCGGCGTCGGCGCGGAGCATGGCATCCTCGTTAAAGGAGGTGCTGTGTTAGAAGCTGCCACGAAAGTTACCCATGTTGTCTTTGATAAGACGGGCACCCTGACTACAGGTCAAATGAGCGTGGCTGACACCCGAATCGAACCTCAATGGACAATGAACGACTGGCGCCGTCAGCTCTGGTGGCTTATTGTCGGTCTCGCAGAGGCAGGCAGTGAGCACCCAATCGGACGAGCGATCTTCTCTACAGCCATAACCGAATCAGGTCATCCCGGAGAGGATGGATTACCAGGGAGCACGGGTGATGTTGACAACTATGTAGGCAAGGGTGTGTCTGCCGTTGTCGAACCTACATCTAGCGGTCAACGTATCCGGCACCATGTCCTCCTTGGCAACGCCAACTTTCTCCAGTCCAAACACGTCCCTGTACCCGCTGATGCAGATCCCGACTCTGCGGAACCTGTCGAAGACCCGGAAGCTGATACCCCCAAGCCTGGTGCCGCCGCGGCCGGCATTACACGCATCCACGTCGCTATCGACAACCGCTATGCCGGAACCATCTCCCTGCGAGACACAGTGAAAGAGACAGCCGTGGCGGCAGTAGCGGCCCTGCATCGCATGGGAATCTCGACCTCCATGGTAACAGGTGACACACTCTCAACGGCGATATCAATCGCCACAGCAGTCGGCATCCCAACCGCTACAATCCACGCCTCCGTCTCCCCATCCGAGAAACGCTCGATCATCTCCGCCCTCCAAGCAGAAGGCGAGCGCGTCGCTATGGTCGGCGACGGCATCAACGACTCTCCCGCCCTGGCCACGGCATCCGTCGGAATCGCTCTCGCATCTGGCACAGACGTAGCCGTGGAGGCTGCCGATATCGTCCTCATGCGTCCGGATGATCTACTCTCTGTACCGGCCAGTCTCTCCCTGTCGCGCTCCGTCTTCAGACGCATTAAGTTGAACTTGATTTGGGCTTGTATGTACAATGTCATTGGCCTTCCATTTGCTATGGGCCTTTTCCTCCCCTTCACGGGATTCATGTTACCCCCTATGGCCGCTGGTGCTGCTATGGCTCTTTCCAGTGTGTCTGTCGTTGTTAGCAGTCTGCTATTGAAGTTCTGGCGTCGCCCGTCTTGGATGGAGGTTGAGCGTCTTGAGAAGGAGCTTGCTTCGGGTGCGATCTCTCCGGCCGATGTGGCGCGTCGTGGTCATGCTCGTAAAATGAGCTGGTGGACTTCTACTACTATTTTGTCGGATAGCCCGCGCTCTCTGCGTCGTCGTGTTGGAAACGTTGTCTCTTCGCTTTGGTCTCTGGCCACTGGCAAAGGACCCAAGTCGGCTGTTCGGGGTGACGAGGGTTATGTTCCGCTGCAGACTGTTGAGCCGCCTGTCTGATTTTGCCTTGTTCAATTCACCGTATAGAGACTTGTCCTATATAACGGCTTGCTTTGTTCTGATGCCTCATGTTCAATTTTGTTGGGTTAGCATATTTTGGGCCCAGTTTGGCGTTTCATTTTCGGTTTATTCTTACGTTATTTGATACCTCCTCCGTTAAACGCATTCTGCATTTGTTACGAGAATGTCCTCACGTAAAATACTAAAGATAAAAAGTATGGAATGAGTATATCAGCCTATGGCCAGCCCTGCAGGTGTATTCTGGTGAGTGATCTATAGGGTCTGGACTAAACCTATTCAGGACTGTCTGCCTCAGGCGACACATTTGGTCGGATTAGAGTGCAAACAATGCAAACAAGTGGGCGGGATGACTCCGAGGCTTTTTTGTCTTCTTTGATAACAAGATCGTCACGTTTCTTTGGTGCTATTTCTGGAGACGGTATTAAAGGACCTCTCCTGGCATATCGCAGTTTGCTTTCGCCAACCTCAGGTTCAACGGGCTGTTGACGCATTTCAAGTAAAACAGCCCTGCCGCTTTCCCACCTGCTCTTCACGAGAACTAGTTCTTGCGATTCTCTAGAGCGATAAAGAATTCGTTGCTAACACTCCTTGCAGCAATGGCTCCGAAGCAAAAAGCTGCGCAAAGGCCGAAGCCGAACACGGCAGAGGAAGTGGAAGAGACGTTTCAAGCTGTGGTAGGTCTAGCAGTT